TTTCGGATTCTGTCCCACCAAAAAACAGAGAACCAAGCGGACCCTAAGGCTCATCACATTTACCATAGAAAGCTGCAACCCTGTGGGCTGTTCCGCAATTAGAATTTATGAAAGTATTCCTATTTCTAACCGTTACAATTTTATTAGTTACGCTCCTAAAAATAATTTGTAAAAAATAATTATAATGACATCGTGCATGCCAAATGAGAGTTGTCATCTACTCAAATTTGTTAGCGTAGCTTAGTTTCGATATTTTTATTAAAAAACCCAAATTTGAAGACAATAAGATAAGTCACAATCAGATTTGGAGTAAGAGAACGATCATCCCAGCTAACAATAATGGTTAGGTTAAACTCATCAAACCCCTGCTTTGCAATTTAAAATTGCACCCACCGCTCTTTTGCTTGCTTCTTTCAAAAGTAAAAGAAAAAGAACAAGAAAAAGAAATGACGCATTCCCCAAAAGAAAAGAAAACAACAGTAGGCCAAATTTGGACAGCGCAATCCCCTGTGATCTCAATTCTAAAATGCGCGCCGACGCCTAACAACAAAGCCCGTTTGGATCGGGTATTTTGAAGAGGAAAGGAAGAGGAAAGCTGTCAATTTGTCAGTTTTTTGATAGCTTTCCCTCAAAATCGTCTCTATAAGAGGCGATTTTGGGGGAAAGCTGCCAAAAAGCTGACAAATTGGTAGCTTTCCCCCTCCTTTCCCCTTCAAAATATCTGATCCAAACAGCCCCTAAATAAAAGTATCAGCAAAATTTGTACAAGCGTTCTTATTGCAGTTTAGCCCCTTCGCATCTTTTGTCTTCCGAATAAATCCTTCTTTTGTATTTAGATTTAAGGTCAAATTCTTTTGCCCCATTATAAATGAGAAGTGAATAAATTTGTTTAAATTTTTAAAGAGGTGGACTGGCATGTGAAATGGACACGCATGAATAAAATAGACATGAAGATATAGGTGTTGCTTGCACGTTGTCTGAGCATGTGCGATGAACGTGAGGAGAGAATCGTTTAGAACATAAAACAATACTCATGAATACTGTTGAAGTTAAACCAAGTATTAGGAGGATTTTCATTTTAATTATCTTTAGAAGTTTGCTTTTATTAGGAATTGGTGTTTAGGAGCTTGGTTAATTATCTATAGAGTTTATATTATATAGAAACACTACTTTGTAAAGCATATAAGAGGGCATCTCCCTGTAGTAGTGAACATATATATATATATATAGTTTGATAAACGTTACCAAATCCAACTTCAACTAAAGCTGCTCAATTTTAGAATGAGTTTAACATAAAATAATCGTATATGGATATCCTAAGTGTTGTTTGAAATTTTTTGTAACGAATAAGGTGGAAATTTTCATCGTTGATCATTTATTGCAATTTTTTTTCCTCAATCTAACTAATACGAATGAGATAGAATTACGTAAAATTATTCAGAAAATTTTCAAATCAAATATTCAGTTAGTAACATCTAATCATATCTATACATCCAACTTTTTCTTTCAATTAACCAAGCATATGACATTGTACTCAATAGAGCCGTAAATGATATTTAAATAAAAAATATATAACATTTAATTTTATATTTGCTCACATGAAAGATGAGGTAAAAAGAGCAATTGTTTCATAAAACCCAAAGTTTATAATGACTTATTTCAATATCCAATCACTCCTGGAATCATTCTTAAATCCAATATATCCGTACTAAAATTTAAACCCAGTTTGCGGCTAATGTCTAAGTCGATACAATATGATAGCTATGCTTATGTTTAAGATGTTATGGGCGGGTTGAAAAATAAATCAGGGTGAAATATTGTGTTTACAAACTGAGCCCTACATTGTAACATGAAATATTTTTTTTTTGTCAAAGGACCAATGTGTAAAATCATTGTATCATACATTCATACCCCCCATTTCAAGTAGTCAGCAGATCTCTCTCCCCTAATTAATTACCCCATCCTCTCTCTCCCCGCTCCCCTCCTCCCCCAGATCTCAAACCCTAATTCGTCCAGATCTGAAGAATTCCATGGCGATCTCGCCCAGATCTCCCTCGATCTGGGCCTGGGCCTTCTCCCTCCTCCTCCTCCTCTTCTCGGCCCAGATCTGGCCCGGCGCCGCCTTCTACCTCCCAGGGAGCTACCCTCACAAGCACCAAGTCAACTCCCCCCTCAACGTTAAAGTCAACTCCTTGACCTCCATCGACACCGAGCTCCCCTTCTCCTACTACTCCCTCCCCTTTTGCCAACCCCCCGACGGCGTCAAAGACTCCGCAGAGAACCTCGGCGAGCTCCTGATGGGCGATCGGATCGAGTCCTCCCCCTACCAATTCAAAACCCTAGTCAACGAATCCGACGTCTTCCTCTGCCTAACTAAACCCTTGTCAAAAGACGACTTTGCCCTCTTCGCCAAGCGAATCGACGAGATGTACCAGGTCAACGTCATGCTGGACAACCTCCCGGCGATTCGATACACGAAGAAAGAGGACGGCTTTGTGCTCAGGTGGACCGGCTACCCAATTGGGGTCAAGGTTAGCGACGCTTATTATGTGTTCAATCACCTAAAGTTTACTGTTTTGGTTCATAAGTATGAGGAGCCGAATGTTGCGAGAGTCATGGGGACTGGAGACGCTCCTGAGGTTATCCCGATGACGAAGAATAATGAGAACCCGGGGTATATGGTTGTGGGTTTCGAGGTTGTGCCTTGTAGCTTTCAGCACGATTTGGAATCGGTGAAGAATTTGAAGATGTACGATAAGTATTCGACGAAAATCCAGTGTGAGCCTTCGACGGTGGCGATGCAACTGAAGGAGAATCAGCCGGTGGCGTTTACTTATGAGGTCGCGTTTGTTGAGAGCGATATTAAGTGGCCATCGAGGTGGGATGCTTATTTGAAGATGGAAGGGGCGAAGGTGCATTGGTTCTCGATATTGAATTCGTTGATGGTGATTACTTTCTTGGCGGGGATTGTGTTGGTTATATTCTTGAGGACGGTGAGGAGAGATTTGACGAGGTATGAGGAACTGGATAAGGAGGCACAGGCGCAGATGAATGAGGAGCTCTCGGGGTGGAAATTGGTGGTCGGTGATGTGTTTAGGGCGCCAGGTAATCCGAGGTTGTTGTGTGTGATGGTGGGAGATGGGGTTCAGATCCTTGGGATGGGGGTTGTTACAATCTTATTTGCAGCTCTTGGGTTCATGTCTCCGGCTTCAAGAGGGACTTTGATCACAGGTACATGCCCCTTTTAACCTTTTATGTGTTTTAAATGGATTTTCTTTTTAACGATGGCAGAGGTTAACTTGGGCTTTGAATAGTTTTTGGAATAGAAGAACATGTAGGATTGCAATTTGTGATGGTCGCTGATTATTATGTTCATGTTGTTAGCTTACCTATTTATTACCAAATGCTAGATATCAGTATGTTATCATGTCAAATTTAGAGGGATTTGACAATTATGATTTATGATATATGTTTTGTTTGTGAGAGAATGGTCAGATCCCACATCAATGTGATTGCTTGATAGGTGACAAATAGGCTGCAAAGCTTGTGGGAGAATATATTTCTTTTGTGCCACTATGACCCTTTGTTGCATTCTTATTGCAAACCAGTTGGTAGGCTTAGTGCATATGTCACAATTGATGTCTACATTATTGATTCTGATTATATCTTAAATTGGTACGGGCTTTGATAAATATTAACCTGACATGTTACTTACAGGTATGATTTTCTTCTACTTGATTCTTGGAATCGCGGCCGGTTATGTTGCAGTCAGACTTTGGAAAACCCTCAACTGTGGTAATCCCGCTGGATGGGCGAATGTATCATGGCGTGTCGCTTGTTTCTTTCCTGGTATCGCCTTCCTAATTCTTACCACTCTAAATTTCCTCCTTTGGGGAAGCCATAGCACAGGGGCAATTCCTTTCTCTTTGTTCGTTATCCTCATCTTGCTCTGGTTCTGCATCTCTGTACCTCTTACCCTTGCTGGTGGATACTTTGGGGTGCGGGCCCCTCACATTGAGTACCCAGTAAGAACAAATCAGATTCCTCGCCAAATCCCTCCTCAAAAATACCCATCGTGGTTGTTGGTTCTTGGTGCCGGTACCCTTCCATTTGGCACTCTCTTTATTGAGCTCTTCTTTATAATGTCAAGCCTATGGATGGGCCGAGTCTACTATGTCTTTGGGTTTCTCTTTATCGTCATGATCCTTCTTGTCGTTGTGTGTGCTGAAGTTTCTCTAGTTCTTACCTACATGCACCTTTGTGTTGAGGATTGGAAGTGGTGGTGGAAAGCGTTTTTCGCATCTGGGTCAGTGGCTATATACATCTTTTTATACTCGGTTAACTATCTTGTATTTGATCTCAAAAGTCTAAGTGGGCCAGTCTCGGCTACACTCTATCTTGGATATTCACTCTTCATGGTTTTGGCCATCATGCTTGCAACCGGTACGGTTGGGTTCCTTTCTTCATTCTGGTTTGTGCACTATCTCTTTTCTTCAGTCAAATTAGATTAAGCCCTTTTGGTGGTAGAAGAAGCTTCAGTTGCCCCAGAGCATATTGGTGATAGTATGGCAAGTGAACAGATTGTTGTGATATCATGAATACTGTTTGTAGCCTTGTTGAGGGGGTTAACTAAGGGTTTTTTTACTTTGGAGTTTTAAGGAAGAAATTGTATCTCAACACGGATTATGTAATTTTTTTTATAGTTATAGAACCTTTTAGAGTTGATGAGGTGTAATATTTTGTCTTGGTGGAACTTCTTTGATTATAGGCGTTTGAGTTTGGCCTGTGTGGATGTATCAGTCTCTATACTTATTTTTACTTCTATTGAAATTAAAATCATGTTGTTCCTCTGATGTTACTAGTGTAAACAAATGGACCTAAAAGTAAAAATCCCTAATATTAATTGTGCTGTCAAGTAGCCTATATTGCTGCAACGAAAAAGAGAGTTGCATTCGTGACGCGAGTTGCAGTTAATTTGTTTGCCGGATAGAGCTCTTTTATGTTGGAACTTTCATCTCGTTTTGAACTGTTTGTTTGGCTTATAGAAGAGTTGGGATTCTTCTGCAATAATGCCTCTGAGATTATTTGCATGACCAAGCATTATTGATTTCCTACAGGGTGTTTCATCAACTATCTTGGTGTTTATATTATCTTCGCCGTTGCTTGTTATGCGTTTAGGCGCGAGCCTGTTCATCGATCACGGCTGGCTACATTCTTCTGTTGTCTGTTGCAGTTAATTTGTTTGCCGGATAGAGCTCTTTTATGTTGGAACTTTCATCTCGTTTTGAACTGTTTGTTTGGCTTATAGAAGAGTTGGGATTCTTCTGCAATAATGCCTCTGAGATTATTTGCATGATCAAGCATTATTGATTTCCTACAGAGTGTTTCATCAACTATCTTGGTGTTTATATTATCTTCGCCGTTGCTTGTTATGCGTTTAGGCGCGAGCCTGTTCATCGATCACGGTTGGCTACATTCTTCTGTTGTCCGTTGCAGTTAATTTGTTTGCCAGATAGAGCTCTTTTATGTTGGAACTTTCATCTCGTTTTGAACTGTTTGTTTGGCTTATAGAAGAGTTGGGATTCTTCTGCAATAATGCCTCTGAGATTATTTGCATGATCAAGCATTATTGATTTCCTACAGAGTGTTTCATCAACTATTTTGGTGTTTATATTATCTTCGCCGTTGCTTGTTATGCGTTTAGGCGCGAGCCTGTTCATCGATCACGGCTGGCTACATTCTTCTGTTGTCTGTTGCAGTTAATTTGTTTGCCGGATAGAGCTCTTTTATGTTGGAACTTTCATCTCGTTTTGAACTGTTTGTTTGGCTTATAGAAGAGTTGGGATTCTTCTGCAATAATGCCTCTGAGATTATTTGCATGATCAAGCATTATTGATTTCCTACAGAGTGTTTCATCAACTATCTTGGTGTTTATATTATCTTCGCCGTTGCTTGTTATGCGTTTAGGCGCGAGCCTGTTCATCGATCACGAAAATCCCTAATATTAATTGTGCTGTCAAGTAGCCTATATTGCTGCAACGAAAAAGAGAGTTGCATTCGTGATGTGAGTTGCAGTTAATTTGTTTGCCGGATAGAGCTCTTTTATGTTGGAACTTTCATCTCGTTTTGAACTGTTTGTTTGGCTTATAGAAGAGTTGGGATTCTTCTGCAATAATGCCTCTGAGATTATTTGCATGATCAAGCATTATTGATTTCCTACAGAGTGTTTCATCAACTATCTTGGTGTTTATATTATCTTCGCCGTTGCTTGTTATGCGTTTAGGCGCGAGCCTGTTCATCGATCACGGCTGGCTACATTCTTCTGTTGTCTGTTGCAGTTAATTTGTTTGCCGGATAGAGCTCTTTTATGTTGGATCTTTCATCTCGTTTTGAACTGTTTGTTTGGCTTATAGAAGAGTTGGGATTCTTCTGCAATAATGTCTCTGAGATTATTTGCATGATCAAGCATTATTGATTTCCTACAGAGTGTTTCATCAACTATCTTGGTGTTTATATTATCTTCGACGTTGCTTGTTATGCGTTTAGGCGCGAGCCTGTTCATCGATCACGGTTGGCTACATTCTTCTGTTGTCTGTTGCAGTTAATTTGTTTGCCAGATAGAGCTCTTTTATGTTGGAACTTTCATCTCATTCTGAACTGTTTGTTTGGCTTATAGAAGAGTTGGGATTCTTCTGCAATAATGCCTCTGAGATTATTTGCATGATCAAGCATTATTGATTTCCTACATGGTGTTTCATCAACTATCTTGGTGTTTATATTATCTTCACCGTTGCTTGTTATGCGTTTAGGCGCGAGCCTGTTCATCGATCACGACTGGCTACATTCTTCTGTTGTCTGTTGCAGTTAATTTGCTTGCCGGATAGAGCTCTTTTATGTTGGAGCTTTTATCTCGTTCTGAACTGTTTGTTTGGCTTATAGAAGAGTTGGGATTCTTCTGCAATAATGCCTCTGAGATTATTTGCATGATCAAGCATTATTGATTCCCTACAGTGTTTCATCAATTATCTTGGTGTTTATATTATCTTCGACGTTGCTTGTTATGCGTTTAGGCGTGAGCCTGTTCATCGATCACGACTGACTACATTCTTCTGTTGTCTGTTGCAGTTAATTTGCTTGCCGGATAGAGCTCTTTTATGTTGGAGCTTTTATCTCGTTCTGAACTTTTTGTTTGGCTTATAGAAGAGTTGGGATTCTTTTGCAATAATGCCTCTGAGATTATTTGCATGATCAAGCATTATTGATTTCCTACATGGTGTTTCATGAACTATCTTGGTGTTTATATTATCTTCACCGTTGCTTGTTATGCGTTTAGGCGTGAGCCTGTTCATCGATCACGACTGGCTACATTCTTCTGTTGTCCTGTTGCAGTTAATTTGTTTGCCGGATAGAGGCTGCTTTTATGTTGGAGACTTTTCATGCTGCGTTTGAAAACTGTTTGTTTGGAGCTTATGAAGAGTTGGGATTCTTCTGCATATAATGCCTACTGAGATTATTTGCATGCTCAAGCATATATTGATTTCTACATGAGTGTTTGCATACAACTTATTTTGGTGTTTATATTATGCTTCGGCCGTTGCTTGTTATGCGTTTAGGCGCGAGCGTCTGTTTCATCGATCGACGGCTGCTACATTCTTCACTGTTGTGCTTTGGCAGTTAATTTGTTTGGCCGGATAGAGTCTTTTATGTTTGGAATTATCATCTGCGTTTTGAAACTGTTTGTTTGGCTTACTAGAAGAGTTGGGATTCTTCTGCAGTACATGCTCTGAGATTAATTTGCATGATCACGCATTATTGATTCCGTACAGAGTGTTTCATTCAAACTATGCTTGGTGTTTATAATTATCTTGCGCCGGTTGCTTGTTATGCGTTTAGGCGCGAGCGTTCATCGATCAGCGCGCTGGCTACATTCTTCTGTTGTCCTGTTGCAGTTAATTTGTTTGCCAGATAGACCTCTTTTTATGTTGGAACTTTCATCTCGTTTGAACTGTTTGTTTGGCTTATAAGAAGAGTTGGGATTCTTCTGCAATAATGCCTCTGAGATTATTTGCATGATCAAGCATTATTGATTTCCTACAGAGTTGTTTCAATCAACTATCTTGGTGTTTATATTATCTTCGCCGTTGCTTGTTTATGCGTTTAGGGCGCGAGCAGCTGTTTCATACGATCACGGCTGGCTACATTCTTCTGTTGTCTGTTGGCAGTTAATTTGTTTGGCCGATAGAGCTCTTTTATGTTGGATCTTTCATCTCGCGTTTGAACTGTTTGTTTGGCTTATAGAGAGTTGGGATTCTTCTGCAATAATGTCTCTGAGATTATTTGCATGATCAAGCATTATTGATTTCCTACAGAGTGTTTCATCAACTATCTCTGGTGTTTATATATCTTCGACGTTGCTTGTTATGCGTTTAGCGCGAGCGCTGTTCATCAGATCACGGTTGGCTACATTCTTCTGTTGTCTTGTTGCAGTTAATTTGTTTGCGCAGATAGAGCTCTTTTATGTTGGAACTTTCATTCTCATTCTGAACTGTTTGTTTGGGCTTATAGAAGAGTTGGGATTCTGCTGCAATAATGCTCTGAGATTATTTGCATGATCAAGCATTATTGATTTCTACAGTGGTGTTTCATCAACTATCTTGGTGTTTATATATCTTCACCGTTGCTTGTTATGCGTTTAGGCGCGAGCCTGTTCAATCGATCACGATGGCTTACATTCTTCTTGTTGTCTGTTGCAGTTAATTTCTTGCCGGATAGAGCTCTTTTATGTTGGAGCTTTTATCTCGTTCTGAACTGTTTGTTTGGCTATAGAAGAGTTGGGATTCTTCTGCAATAATGCCTCTGAGATTATTTGCATGATCAAGCATTATTGATTCCCTACAGTGTTTCATCAATTATCTTGGTGTTTATATTATCTTCGACGTTGCTTGTTATGCGTTTAGGCGTGAGCCTGTTCATCGATCACGACTGACTAACATTCTTGTTTGTCTGTTGCAGTTAATTTGGCTTGCCGGATAGAGCTCTTTTATGTTGGAGCTTTTATCTCGTTCTGAACTTTTTGTTTGCTTATAGAAGAGTTGGATCTTTTGCAATAATGCCTCTGAGATTATTTGCATGATCAAGCCATTATTGATTTCCTACATGGTGTTTCATGAACTATCTTGGTGTTTATATTATCTTCACCGTTGCTTGTTATGCGTTTAGGCGTGAGCTGTTCATCGATCACGACTGGCTACATTCTTCTGTTGTCTATGCGGCAAAAGTACTGCCAGAGCGAAAAAATTTACACCGCATTTCAGTTCATCGACCAAGGCTAGCTACATTCTTATGTTGTCTATGCGGCTAAGTACCGAAGAATAGAGCGTGTGATTAATGGGTTAATTGCGAATAGATCCTTGGTGTCACGGCGATTGCAAACGGAACCCCTATTGTAACTCTTAAAAATTGTCAAAAAAGTTTTGAGGAGACGGATGAACCCGCGAGGATAAATCCCCAATTACTCGTCATTTTTAACTCGAAAGGAGTAGAACAGCTCGCTGCCAAGCGGCGTTTTGCATTTGAGCCAATACTAAAGGGTCTAGCCACACAAATAGAAGTAGGACATCCATTTGCAATTTGGTTTAATGATAAATTGATAATCATTCATAAATATAGTAAAGCCAAAACGACTGGCGCGCTGACGGCCCTGGCCCCTGCCCAATTATCGTCCTCACGAACTCAATCGAACGAACGAATTTCTTCTGACGCCCTCTCTCGCTCTCACTCTTCCAAACAAAGGAGAAAAGAGAGAGAAAAGTAGCGGAGAGATAAAAAATGGCGCTCATTCAATGGCGACGGCATCCTCCTCTCTTCACCCCCAGCTCTCCATTCTCCGCGCGTCTCGTCTCCTCCAACCGCTTCCTCTCTCCCTCTTCTTCTCCTCTCTCTTCTCCCGTCCTCATCCTCTCTCTGTCTTCTCTTTCGCTCTCTCGGAGCGTCAGAGCTCTTCCGGTCATACAAAAGAAGCCCTAACCCTAAGGTACCGGATCTCGATTCGCACCACCTTTTCGCTGCAAGTTCAATTTCTACTAAACTTTTTCTTTTTTTTTATATTTAAGAAAATTGACGGTGACTTGCTCTCGCCGGTAAGAAGGAACCGCTGAGGTGATGATCTCCGGTGCTCCGGCGTCGGGCAAAGGAACCCAATGCCAGATGATCGTCGAGAAAGTGAGCTCCCCCCCCCCCCACCAGAATCCGCCGGTTCTTTTTCTATGTTTTTGGCCTCTGTTTGTTTAGAATCCAAGATGAATTTCTGCTCTCGCTTCATATTTGTTATTGCTGGGGACAATAACAAGCTCATCTTTCCATTGGAACAACTGTAGACAGCGGAAAAGGCCACGGAGATCCTCATTATGGTGCGTAGCGCATGATAAGGTTACTTGTTTCTGTGCTCCGAAGCACTGCGTGTGCACTATGCCGCACAAACGCTAATAATTTTAAATAAAATAATCTGAGGCAATTCTAGGATGAAAATACGTCACGGATGGGATTATAACATATTTTATATATGATGTAGAACACACAACAGACACGTTTATGTCAAAGTGAGATAGTCGCAAGCCCAAATGCGGGCATGGTCGAAGAAAATAGCTAGTTTCGAAGAAACGGTCGTAATTTTCAAACTGTACGTCGGAATTGGACGAATTATATATGAAAATCGACTATTTCGACTAGACAGAGCATCCAAACCGACCCATTAGGATTCGGTTTGCGTTCTCCGTTTCACCAAATTCCTTACGGTTTGAGAGATATTTACATTTTTGTCTGTTTTTTACTATTTTTAGTAATATTTTAGGAGTCTGTTTTGTTTAGGAAACAAATCCGATTTGATCTCAGATTTGACCGGTGGACTTTCCTAGTAATAAGGAGTCTTTTTAGTAGTTTTAATATTTTAGAAATTCTTTTACTATTTTTGGTAGAGTTTGAGTCATTGTAGGAGTCTTGTTTCTTTTTTTCTATTTAAGAAGAGTCTTGTAAGCCCTAGAGGCACAACTTTTGATTAATAAAAATTTTGTTTTTCTTCAATATTTACTTAGTGGATTCGAAGCTCTTCGTGGATTCGAAGATTATCCTTGGTGGATTCCGAGGCTATAACTTCCGCGCTGCGTCAATTGGTATCAGAGCATTGTTCCTCCGATCCGATGACAGGTGATGAAGCCCCTATTGCTCGAACTGAGTTCGACGTGCTGAACTCCGACGTAGAGCAACTGAGGACCAATGGTGATCGGATGAGGGTTGCCATAGAGCGACTTACGATGGTAGTGGAGCGTCTGAACCCGATGGGAGTTTAAAATCGCGTTGATGGTCGCCATTGACGTGATCTGACTCCATATGATAAATCCGATAGCAAGGAAGATCCCTATGCACCTCCACGCCGCAGTGTTTATCGTAAAGACCGACGACGAAGGGATAATTATGACGCTGGAGGTTTCAAGATGAAGATGTATCTGTCATCTTTTAACGGGCAACTTCATATTGAATAGTTCCTCGACTGGATTGCAGAAGTAGAAAGATTCTTTGAGTATATGGAGATCCCAGAAGAACGGAAGGTAAAATTAGTGGCTTACCGACTCAAAGGTGGAGCTTCAGCTTGGTGAGAATCTGTTTGTTTGAATCGATCTCGTCAAGGAAAGCCGAAGGTCGATAGGTGTGAAAAGATGAAGAAGCTATTAAGAGCCCGTTTCTTGCCAAGCAATTATGAACAAGTTTTATTCGGGCAGTACCAGAATTGTAAGTAGGGTGGAAGAACCGTGGATGAGTACACAGGAATTCTATCAACTATCATCCCGCAACAACTTATACGAGAGCGAGGTGCAACAGATGTCTCGATATACATGGGGGTTGAAGATGATGATTCAGGATCGTGTATCTCTACAACAGACCTATACTCGGACGAAATAGTAAAAGTCCATGGGTAGCTTCCGACGGGTCACGCACGAGCTTTAATCGTGGTAAATAGTCCCAAACAGTTTCTGATCAGGATACTACAACTGAGAAGGACAAGGGTCCAGCGACAATAACTGCAAAGAAGACTATATCCCCGAACCCATATACCAAGCCTGACCCAATTAAGTGCTATAGATATGGACAGTCTGGTCATCGATCCAATCAGTGCCCTAAAAGAGGTCTTGTGAACATAGTGGATCATGAAGATTAAGTTACAGATCGTGACGAAGTTGAAGACTACGATGGTGGATTAGATCCTGATGATGATGAGGAACAACTCTCATGTGTTGTGCGGCGTCTATTGTTGATCCTAAAGACAGAAGAGCCACCGCAGAGGCATAACATCTTCCGCACGAGATGCACCGTGAAACAGAAGATCTGTGATGTCATCATTAATAGTAGGAGCAGTTGAGAATATTGTCTCTCGACGCATGGTGGAGAAGTTAGGATTAAAGACAGAGAAGCATCCCGCCCCTTACAAGATTAGTCGGATTCGAAAGGGTAGCGACGTACAAGTTGATAAAGTGTGTCGGGTATCCTTTTTCATTGGCCGAACTTATATCGATGAGGCGTTATGTGATGTAGTTGAGATGGACGCATATTATATCTTATTAGGCAGGTCATGGTAGTTTGATGTTGATGTCACACATCAGGAAAAGGATAATATTTATATATTTAAGAATGATGGTCGACGAATTATGCTCAAGCCTCTAACTGAGGAGGGGCCTGTCAAACCAATGTGGCTGAAAAGAAGATTTTCTTGGTCGTTGACAATAAAGATTTTATGAAAAAAGTGAAGCAATCCAACGAGGTTTATGCTCTTGTTTTGTTGGGAAAGGAGGATTCTACCACAGTTGAAATTCCACCTGGAGTTCAAACCCTCTTATAGCAGTTTGATACAGTTATGCCTAACGATCTACCCTCTGAATTACCAATGCTTTGAGACGTGTAACATCAGATTGATTTCATCCCTGGATCTCGACTACCAAATCTGCCACACTATCGGATGAACCCGAAGGAAGAAGAGATTTTGCAGAAGTAGGTGGATGATCTTGTCCAGAAGGGTCTTATACGGCCTAGCATGAGTCTATGTGCCGTACCAATACTACTAGTCCCAAAGAAGAACGAAGAGTGGCCTATGTGTGTGGACAATAGGGCTATCAACAAAATCACCGTGAAGTATCGATTTCTTATCCTACGCTTGGAAGACATACTAGACATGTTATCTGGATCAAAAGTGTTCTCAAAGATTGATCTCAAGAGTGGTTATCATCTGATTCGGATTAGGGAAGGGGATGAGTGGAAGACTGTATTCAAGACAAAAGAAGGCCTATATGAATGGTTAGTAATACCTTTTGGCCTTTCTAATGCTCTCAGCACTTTCATGCGTTTGATGAATCAAATATTAAAACCCTTTATCGACAAGTTCGTTGTAGTTTACTTCGATGATATCCTGATTTATAGCCAGAGTGAGACTGCACATCTGGACCATTTGAGGGAGGTACTAACAGTTTTGTAGGAGAACAAGTTGTACATCAATCTGAAGAAGTACAACTTCATGACCAGTAGCCTTGTATTCCTAGGCTTTGTTGTTAGCGCAGAGGGCATCCATGTTGATAAAGAGAAGGTCCGTGCTATTCGAGATTAGCCTACACCGAAGACAGTCAGCGAAGTTCGTAGTTTTCATGGCCTAGCAACGTTCTACAGAAGATTTGTCAGAAACTTCAGTAGTATTGTAGCTCATATCACTGAGTGCATGAAGAAAAGCAAATTCAATTGGGGGGACGATGCGGATTGTAGCTTTGCACTGATCAAAGAGAAATTGCCCACCGCACCAGTACTTGCACTTCCAGATTTTTAAAAGGTCTTTGAAGTTGATTGTGATGCGTCTATCATAGGAATTGATGGTGTTTTATCTTAGGAAGGGCGTTCAGTTGCTTTTTACAGTGAGAAACTCAGCGATGCTCGACAAAAGTGGACCACATATGAGCTGGAGTTATATGCCATAGTTCAGTCTTTGAAGCATTAGGAGCAATATTTAATCTCGAGAGAGTTTCTGTTTCACACTGATCATCAGGCTTTGAAGACCCTTAATAGTCAGACTACCATCAACCGTATGCATGCTCGTTGGATCGTATATCTGCAGCGTTTCACCTTTGTTTTGAAGCATAAATCCGAACAACAGAATAAGGTTACAGATGCACTCAGTAGGAGAGCTGGATTGTTGGTAACTTTGAAGGCTGAAGTGATTGGGTTTGAGTACCTTAAGGAGCTGTATACAGAGGATGAAGATTTTAAGAAGATTTAGAATGACTGCCTTCAAAATAAATCAGTCAAAGGCTTTTATATTCATGATGGTTATCTATTTCATGGCGATCAATTGTGTATACCCCAGAGTTTACTAAGAGAGCAGATAATTCGAGACCTTCATGCTGGCGGACTAGGAAGACACTTGGGACGTGATAAAACAATTGCAGCCATTGAAGAACGATATTACTGATCTCAGTTGAAGAAGGGAGCAGAAAAATATGTGTGGCGTTATCCAGTTTGTCAAGTTGCTAAGGGACAGTCTCAGAATAGAGGATTGTATACACCTTTACCTGTTTCTGATGCACCATGACATGATATCTCTATGAATTTTGTGTTGGGACTGCCTCGAACCCAACGAGACATGGATTCTGTTTTTGTTGTGGTTGACAGATTTTCAAAGATGACGCACTTTATTCCGTGCAAGAAGACTACAGATGCTAGCAACATTGCCAATCTTTTCTTTCGGGAGATAGCCTTCATGGAGTGCCGAAGTCCATTACATCCGATCAAGATTCTAAATTCTTATCTCACTTTTGGAGAACTTTATGGCAGCGATTCAATACTTTTCTTAAGTTTAGTACTGCTTATCACCCTCAAACAGATGGCCAAACTGAAGTGGTCAATCGCACCCTCGGCAATCTTCTTAGATCCATCTTTGGAGATGACTGAAACAGTGTGATCTTGCTTTGGCTCATGCTGAGTTTGCTTATAACTGTATGGAGAATCGAATTACAGGCAATGCACCCTTTGTGATTGTGTATGGAAGGCTTCCGAATCATTATCTCGACCTTGCTTCATTGCCTAAGCTTCCCGGACAGAGTGTTCCTGCAAATCATATGGTTGAAAAGATAGGGGCTATCCAACAGGAAGTAAAGGAGAAGATAGAACAATCTAATGCTAAATATAAGAATGATGCTGATCGACACAGGAGGAAGAAGATGTTTGAAGAGGGAGACATGGTGATGGTGTTTCTGCGAAAAGAACGTTTTTCCGTGGGCACCTACAACAAGCTGAAGAATAAGAAGTATAGTCCATGCAAAATACTGAAGAAGATTAGCGACAATACTTATGTGGTTGACCTTCCTACAGATTTGGGTATTTCTCCTAGTTTCAATGTTGCAGATTTGTTTGAGTATTACCCACCGAAAGAAATAACTATTCATGCAAGTGTAAGCTCGGGGTCGAGCTCTTTTCAAGCAGGGGGACTGATGTAGAACACACAGTAAACACGTTTATGTCAAAGTGGGACAGTCGCAAGCTCAAATGCGGGCCTGGTCGAAGAAAATAACTAGTTTCGAAGAAACGATCGTAACTTTCGAACCGTACGTCGGAATTGGACGAATTATATATAAAAATCGACTATCTCGGCGAGACGGAACCATCCAAACCGACCCCTCAGGGTTCGGTTTGCGTTCTCCGTTTCGCCAAATTCCTTACGGTTTGAGAGATATTTTTTATCCGTTTTTACTATTTTTAGTAATATTTATGAGTCTGTTTTGTTTAGGAAACAAATCCGATTTGATCTCAGATTTGACCGGTGGACTTTCCTAGTAATAAGGAGTCTTTTAGGAGTTTTAATATTTTAGGAATTTTTTACTATTTTTGGTAGAGTTTGAGTCCTTGTAGGAGTCTTGTTTCTTTTTTCTATTTAAGAAGAGTCTTGTAAGTTCTAGAGGCACAACTTTTGATTAATAAAAATTTTGTTTTTCTTCAATATTTACTTCGTGGATTCGAAGCTCTTCGTGGATTCGAAGATTGTCCTTGGTGGATTCCGAGGCTACAACTTCCGCGTTGCGTCAATATAAAAATGTAAATAACCATTTGGGATGCAACATGATATTAAAGGGTTTGTAAAACAAATCATATGGATGCAATTCGTGTATAAACTCTCAATCTAGTCATATAAACCTTGAAACCTTGAACATAATTGTGCGTGAGACCAACCATCTCCAAGCTAGTTCAGGTTCGACGGGTGAATGAAGCATCTTGCACGTGCCATTGTAGATGCGCTTGACAAATGAGGGTCTTGCATGCATGTCGATACAACACAGACTATACATAAGATCTTATTTCAATTATAGTTTGTTTAGATTAAACTCAAACCGGTCCAAGATTTGTGCAAAATTCCTATTAGGCGAGGTGCACAAATTCTCTGTGCTGAATTTCTACTAGCAGCAAACCTTTAATAGATTAGACAATATTGCAACTTATTTCCGATGGTTGACTTGATTTCTGGTTACCGTATGTTAGTTGCTAACTGTGCTACCACCTATTTCCCTTTCTCTGAAAACTCTAGCATCTCTTTTAGCTACTAGTCTACTATCTATTAATAAAAGACGAGTATAATATAGGTGCTGAGATATAAATTTTCAGCATTTTATCAAGTGTTTAACGTTGCAATCTATATTATGGTTTTTATTATTGGCTTGCTCCTGTTATTATTTTTTCTTTCTTTCTTTCTTTGAATAAAACCCCCTTTTGGTAAAAGTTTTTGGTTTCTAATTATTATTAACCCTATGTTATATCTCATCTCCAGTATGGATTAGTTCACATTTCAACCGGGGATCTGTTGAGGGCTGAAGTGTCGTTAGGTACAGAAATTGGAAAGAAAGCAAAAGAATACATGGACAATGGCCATCTTGTCCCAGATGAAATTGTTACAGATGTATAGCATACCTTTAATCTACCCCTGCCTCTCTTTCCTCCTCTGTTTATACTTTTATTAATGGTTTTTGATCATTGTGTTTATCTCCTCTAGATGGTAATATCACGACTTTCACGAGAGGATGTTAAAGAGAAGGGATGGCTTCTTGATGGATATCCGAGAAGTTTTTCACAAGCAAGCAGCCTTGAGAAGCTTAAAATACGGCCAGACATATATATTCTTCTAGATGTATGCTACTTATCCTACTTGTTTTTATATGTGCGATATATAAGCTGTTGGAAATTTGGATATGTCCTTTGGAGTTGTTAAAACTTTACAGCATGTCCATTCAAAGAACTGTCCCTTTCGTTGGTTACTGTACTCTTACAGTTTTCCGAGTACCTCTTACTTTCTGGATGCATTCCAGTGTACTTTTTCTGTCACTTAATGCTCTAAACAATGTCTAGGATGGATTTTACAGTTTCCATGAACTGGGATTTTAAGTTATGTTCATTATTCCGGAGGAACAATATACAATCCTTGTAATCATGATAAGCTGCATTAAACTCCAACTCATCCTTATTTTTTCTAAGTAGATCACTTCAAGGTATTCTCATTCTTATTTTTTCCAGTAGATCACTTCAAGGTATTCTTATCACGATCAGCTGCATTAAATATTCCATGCTTGTCCTGGCAGAATCATGGTTGTGTCAGAAGTTGGAACTTGGTACCCTTTTATTGCTTAACATGTAAACTATATGTGTTTATCTTTTGTCAGGACTGTGGTGCCATGTATTCAAAATCAGTGTTTTATTTCCCTTCTTGTTAATAATATTATGTTATTGCTTTTCTTTACATAGAAACTTTCCACTTTTTGTGATAGTATCGTGATAGTGAAATTTTGATAGCAATCTTTTAATGACAATATGATTTTACTGTATTTTTAATCCTGTAAAATTTGTATAATGCTCAGTTATTCAATTATCTTTATATTACTACACTGCTTCAAGATGCTGATTAAAGGTTATGAAGTGTAGATTGGCCTTTCACAGAGGTTTGCCTGTTAACATTCAGGTTCCTGATGATATTCTAATCGACAGATGTGTTGGACGAAGGTTGGATCCCGTGACAAGTAAAATTTACCATGTCAAGAACTTTCCTCCAGAAACAGAGGAGATATCAGCACGACTTTTGACACGTCCAGATGATACTGAAGAAAAGGTAAATCTTTGTTGTTGTTGCCATTGTTCTCATTGCTGCTGCTACTGCTACTGCTGTTTTCCATAGCATGTTACTTCTCCACCCCAGAACTCCTGCTCTTTTTGACAGTGAAATTAGGTTCTTCGTAGTGATGATATAACTGAACTATGTAGTATATACGTGTCGCGACTGCAAATGGTATTTCTGGCAATATTTAAGTATGATTATCACAATGCTTATAATAAAATCAGCATGCACAAATGTTTAATTAATATGGAACGTAATTCACTATTTTATCAAGATTACATCCCACATTACCGTAGACATTGTCTATTTTGGTATGCCATGTTATTAATTCTGAAACTGCCACTAGCATTACTAAAGGAGGTTTGGTTTGTCACAGTGTACTGCATCAAATCAGACTTGATTACCATATACTAACAATGGGGAGGTAAGAACCAATGCAGGGTTCATATCCGAACATAGGAAGACCAGTCCACCACCTTTATCTGTTTAGAATTTATATCAGAATTATTTTGGAAATGCTGTTAGCTATGCAGTTCATAAAAGATCTCCTCAGGAACTTTTTGCCGCTGTTCGATTAATCATCGGAAAAGTGTTTTTTTGGCATCATTTTCTTCTTCCTTATAATGCTTCCTTTGCACACCGTACTGGACAGTTTTATCTTAGAGTATTATTTGTATTATTTTAATTACACAGTGTGACCATTAGCACTTAGTTTTCTACTTATCTTGTGGATGATTAGTACTTTGGTTAACCTTTAATTTGTATATGGCTAGGTTAAATCACGTCTTGAGACTTATAAGCGAAATACTGAAGCTATCTTGTCAACTTACGTGGATTTGCTCAATAAGGTATCAAATAATAGAAAAGTTGTATCTCCCTCCTTTCAACAAGCTGGAATATGATTCTTTTAAGTTAATAACTTAAAAAGTTAAAACTAAACACAGGTTGATGGAAATCGCTCCAGGGAAGCTGTTTTCTCAGAAATAGACTCCCTGTTGCAGCGAGTCCAGGAGGATGCTGTAAAGTCTAGGAGCTTGGAAAAATCTAGAGGTCAGTATACAGAGAAGTTCTTTTATACAGAGTATATGATCAGTTTTTCCTATATCATTAGTTGTTTACTTGGATTTTTGAGGCGTTGCTGTCTAGTTGTAGATTCAATATGATAGAATGTGGTGATCTATATCTTTGATGTTTGCATTATATTATGCTTCAGGTTTTCTTTTGTATCTTAACAAATGCTGTAGAGAGTTCCTGGTTCTCTAACAATTCCTCATAGTCATCAAAGCAGCTGAAATCTTGATTCTAGTTTCTTTACTCTTTTTGATGTATTATGGTGTATTGGTGACTTTTATGGAGTTAATGGTCATGTATTAAAAGTTTCATTAGCGTCTGCAACATTTCTAAATAATCCTATAAACTGATGTGTGCTTTAAGCCACTTGATATGCTACTTTTATTGTGAAGAAAAGGGTTTATAAGGCATGTCTTCTTATTATAGAGCGTCTCTTCTGTTTTCTAATAGCTTTTCCCCATCATTGAATGTGCTTATTGCTAGTTCCATGGTCTTTGAATACTCAAGCACAGATATTTATTGTTGTGCCCAAGGAAATGAAAACGGAAGGTTCAAGAACTTGGTTTCAAGTCTGGTTTATGCCCCAGCCTAGTTAAACCTTAAATGAATTTCCAATTATAATAGTTCCTCGATAGTCTTTCTTTGTGATGATCAATTAATGGTGTTTGTGGTTAACCAAGGACAAAGTGAGATGATCCACTTTGCTGGAATTTTGAGACAGCCAAAGATGTTCTTATCTCTTGTTGGTGTCTTCTGACCAGAATCCATTTCCATCACAACGGTTTACTCTTTTGATCATATTAGAGCAATGTTTTTTCTCCTCACAAATGTCTAGAATCTATATGTTAAAACTTTCTTGGACAATAACTTTCATACATAGTATATTAAGCTTTATTAAGTTATTGTGAACAATATGTGCTTGTTGTGATGGTTTCCCAATATATGAAGTGTTTTTGGTTTTACAATACAGTTAACTCTCTAGATTTTGTTTTTTTATTTCCTTATTTTTTTAATTTTGTTTTAAACAAAATGATTTTTTTATTTCTGCCACAATTATTTGTGCAGGAGACTTGATACCTGTTAATAGTATTAATTTAAACGTGGAAGCTTCTGGCAAGGTGCACACAGAATTGCCCCGTTAACTTCTTAGCACCTTGAATACAGTTTGTAGATAGGTTTGCTTGCAATGCTATTAAGTCGAAGAGATATATTGATGTAGATATGCCTTTCCTTATTGTAACTTGAAATGCTTTTTACCAGGATAAATGGCGAGGGATTCCTACCAGATTGAATAACATTCCTCATTCTAGGGAAATAAGAGAATACTTTTATGATGATGTATTGGGGGCTACACAGAGAGCTGTAGAAGACAAAAGAGTCCGATTAATATGATTCAGAAACATAACGAACTTGACTGATTTCACGTATTGGAAATGTTAGTGTTTATCATTGCTACTTACTGATTTTGAAAGTGCGTAATCTCAGAACATTTTCTGTGGACATTTGTTTTGATCAAATAAATACCTTTACCATTTTGGAGTTGGTTCTTGCTGCACTATCTGGAATTAACAGAAAAAAGCCAGACTGAGAAAACCTTAGTTGTTGACTTTGTTTTCATGAATGTGGCTGTGAAATCTTTTATTCCTTCATATGAATAAAGCCTTCTATGACTGAAATGAAGGTAAAACATGCTTTAAACTCTTACAAAGACCTGCAAAGATGGTATTGTTGGATTATGGGTCTAAATTTTCATAGGACCAGTATGTATATGTCCACCCATGTGCGCACGCAGAGAGAGGTGGTTCAAATTGTGTCTTCTTATTCAGTTTTGGCCAAGAACAATTTGGCTTTGTTGAAAGCACTCATTTTGATCGGGTACAATTTGACTTTCTTGGAAGTTGGAAGCACGATTTGGCTTCTGAAAGGGGGAAGGATGTGGGTAAGCATGCATGACAATTAGGTGCAGATGGGAAACAGTGGCGGAGCCAGGGGGGCCAGGGGTGGCCATGCCCCACCCGCCCTTTTACCAAATTACGTAGTATATGCATGTATGATTTTTCCCACATTAGTCCTCCAAATCTCTCATATTTAAAATTAGTCCCCCCAATATCTCATATTTAAAATTATTCCCCCTACCCCCCAAATCTCTCATATTTGAAATTCGTCCCCCAAATCTTTCATATTTGAAACTAGTCTCCCAAATGTAAGAAGTATTTTGGAAATGAGCCCCTTTGTTACATTTACCATCCATATTGTTAACTACTATTAGTTAGTGGTTAACCAAGAATGAATAATTACTAAATAAACCAAAATCGACATTAAAATTTACCCAATTCAAGTTAAAAAATCAGTGAATTTAAGTCATGAAACACGCATCATATATTTCATGTAATTTTCTTTGTATTTAAAATAGAATGGAGAGATAGGGTTCGATTTTCTAGTTTTACATTTAATAATAATGAAATGATGTTTATATGTCATGTGATTTTATAATTTGTGATGAAATTTTGAGATATGGTTCTTCCAATTTCATGAAGTTTTACACTTAAGTACTAGACATGTGAAATTAGCAGTACTAGATATGTGAAATTAGTTTTCTATGTACTTTTGCAATTATTTTATAAATGTGATAGTTAACATTGGTTCACTTATTATTATTATTGTTTGAAATAAGTTTAATGATATAGTTTATAGTTTATTGTTGATTTCCAAACTGCAAAAATATTATAATTTATAGTTTGTGATTATGGAAAACCAACTATACACTAGACACATTTAAAAAAAGAAAGTTTACAAAATTGAAGCATGTTGATTCGACGATTGAGTATATATACAACAACAACAACAATAACAAAGCATCTATTCCAAGTGTTTGAGATCGGCTACATGAATCCTATACTTTCATTCCGTTCTATTATGGGTCATCTCCTCTGTTAAGCTGACTATAATCATATCCTTCTTAGTTACTTCTAACCAAGTCCTTCTACGTCTACCTCTAGATCTCTTTACTCCATTAACTATAATCTTATCACTTCTTCTAACCAGTGCACTAAGAGGTCTATGTTGTACATGGCCATATCATCTTAATCTATTCTCTCACATTTTATTTTTTATAGGAGCAATCTCTAATTTACTATGGATGCACTCAATTCTTATCCTATCTTTTAGTATATACCCACAAGAACATCTCAACATTCTCATTCTGCCACACTTATTTTTTACACATGTTATCTTTTAATTGCCCAACATTCTGATCCATAAAGCATTGTTGGTCTTACAACTGTCCTATAGAATTTTACCTTAAGTCTAACATGTATTCTACGATTACACAATACTCTCGACACACTCCTCCATTTTAACCATCTCGATTTGATTCAACTGACAACATCATCCTCAATCGCCCCATCATGCCGAATGATTGATCCTAAATAGAGAAATTAATTGCTTTTAGATATTTTTTGGCAATTAATATGTACTATAGTCTCTTTTCTTCTTCTAGTTTTACTAAAAATGCATTCTATGTATTCTCTTTTTGTTCTACTAATCCTGAGACCTTTAATTTTAAGAGCTTTTCTACTTTAAAAATTATACTTGTTCTAGTCTCGTCAACTAATATTATATCATCAGCAAATAACATACACAATGACGCTTCATCCTGAATATGTTTAGTAAGCTGGTCCATAACTAAAGTAAAAAAATAAGGGCTTAAGGCTGATCCTTGATATAAACCTATGGTTATAGGAAATGACTTAGTCTCTCCTTCATTAGTTCTTACTTTAGTCGTTACTCTATCATATATATCTTGAATCACATCAATATATATACTAGATACGTGTTACTTTTTAAAACCCACCACATTACCTCTCTGGGCACTCTATCATAAGCTTTTTTCTAGGTCAATGAAAATCATATGTAGATCTTTTCTTTTTTCTCTATATTTCTCTATCAATCTTCTCAAAATATGTATAAGTTTCATAGTTGACATCCCGAGCATAAATGGTTTTCAAATACACTTCTCTTTTCTTAGTCTTTGCTCAATTACGCTCTCGTAAAGTTTCATAGTATGACTCATGAGTTTAATACGACGATAGTTTGAACAATCTTGTATATCTCCTTTATTCTTGCATATCGGTATCAACGTACTAATCCTCCACTCATCGGGCATTCTCTTTGTCTCAATAATATTATTAAATAATTTGGTCAACGATTGAGTATATATATTTAAATGATTTAAGTATTAACGCGGAAAAAAGTTATTTGTAATTTTATATTTGGGTTCTTCTTTCACATACTTACATATATAAAAAAACATTATATTGTTATTTCTTAATGTTTTTTGATCAATGTATAGACTCTAGCACGCGGTTGTAACCCCCCACCCCCCACGACAAAAAAGTCCTCAACAAAATATGCATGAGATACATGGTAGAGCGTGTAAAACAGAAGAGAGGAGTATATCCTCGAGTATAGTGGTGCTGCAAACAGGAACATCTGACTTTGTCTGGAGTAAAAGTTGGTCCATTAGAAGGCAAGATCCCTTTGTTTTAGCTAGTTTATATGGAAAGCAACCCCTACTTCTTACAAAGTTATATGTTAGTCTTGATTATAAATACTGAGTAGTTTTGCTAATTTGGAAGCTACAAAGTACAGATACTAACTTACGGTTTCAATATCTGTATCCAGACAAGTGTCATATACCGTGGAGATACACATGCACCAAACATACACACATGCATCCACGGACCCCCCCCACCACCACCACCACCACCACACACACACACACACACACACACAAAGTTAGATATTATATGACTCCATGTCCTGCTTCTAGCAAATTCGGGTACATGTCCCTGTGTGTGTAATGTTTGGTATCCATGTCCATATCTGTGTCCTTGCTTCATAGCTTTGAAGCAAGTAAAATTAAGTTAGCGACTTTGAAGTTTGTTTTTTCTCATTTGGAAGCTTTTCAACATTACAAGAGGTGACAATGCACAGCATGCTTGATTGTCCAATATTTTGATACCTGTTTTTACTTCGTATGCTTGGATTCTCTATGAAATTCTTTAACTGCACGTATGTTATATTATTAATGGCACTTCTTTTGTCAGTGTCAGATGGTTGCATGTTTAAATTGCAAAAAATCGGTATAATAAGTTGACTTCAGTTAATTTTCTTTGTCAGGTGGAAATCAACATTCCTGAGCTAAATCCAGAAATGGTAAGGAGCTGGTTCACCCCTTAAGCAGTGAAAATTTTGGCACTCATACACTGGTCTATGCTCAGGATGTTTATCGAATAGGTACCTTGATGGAACTTGTACGAACACTTGCCCTTTCATTTGCTGATGATGGAAAACGCGTCAAGGTATATATATTTGCTCTAATCAAAAGTTATTAGATGAGCATTACTATAAGAACTGATACTGTTTTATTTTTTTATTAGGTTTGCGTCCAAGGTTCTATGGGAGAAGGTGCACTTGCTGGAATGCCTTTGCAACTTGCTGGAAGTCGAAAGATTTTGGAATACATGGATTGGGGTGAATATGGAGCTAAGGGAACCTTTATAAAAATTGGATCCATAGGTCTGCATTTGAGATTCCTCATAAACTTTTTTTTTCTTTTAAGAAAACTCTAAGCATTCATTTCATCTTTTTTTATGTTTTATTTTATTTTAAGTGGTCAGTAGCACTTTTATTAGTATTGAAGGGGTCAGTAGCTCTCTTTCAACAAAAAGCATCTAAAATCAGACATCATCCCTTGGATCCAGGCTGATTGCATTTAAAAAATCAAAATCTTTATTCGTAATGGGTGGAAAACTGTATTTCCTTGATATAAAAGAAGATTATTGTCTTGGACTATGCTCTGGATGTGTAAAACATGGTGCTGTCTTGGACTATGCTCTGTGTCTGTTATTTTAAGCTGAAACAACTCAGTGGAACCATAATCAAGGATGTTTATGTTATATGATTTGAATTTTGTTTGTTTAGATTCTTTTTTGTTTGTTAAATATTGATAAATTTTGAAACTCAACTAACTCCTGTTGTATTATAGGTGGCCGAGAGGTTGATGAAGAAGATGATATATTTATACTTGTCGCTCCACAAAATGCTGTTGGGAACTGTATAATAGATGTAAGGACCTAGGGATGAAGTCACTTTTTCAAATTCATGGCACGTGCCCTTCAATAACCACTTTACCATAGTTTAAGCTGGCTCGTCGTGTCTCACGATCAAACTTGACATTTTACACCCATCCTTGTGTGGTCCTCCAGCATAAACATGACTCCCTTGGGAAGGTAGAAGAAACAGTGGTAAATAAACATATTTTACTTTGACAATGAGGAGGTTTGAGCTCAGGTGTGAACAATATATGAAGATCTGTTGAAGCCTTATTTTGATAACCACTTAATCCAAAAGTTTAGGACAAGAGACTGGAGGCTAACAATATATAACAAGTAAAATTGATACCTGATATTATTAGACAAATGAAGTTTTTTTTCCTCCTTTTTTTCTTCTTTTGCTTACTTGTCAACTTTACAGGATATGCAAGCTATGACAGATGCAGCTGGTGACCGTCCAGTGATTCTAATCAATCCCCGCCTAAAGGTTGTATGGAATGAATACTTGTTTTATCATAGACATTCATCTGAAACTGATAGAATTAGATGTCAGTTTAGTTTTTCTGAAGACATTTATCTTCTTATCATGAGAATGGATTTAATACACTTGTCTTGTATGAGACTAACAATTTGGTTACCTCCATGCCAATGAATTTATGATGAACTCGTTGCTTTCGTTATTTAAGCCAACCTCCAGCTCTTTAACAGCACCAAAAAAAAATACATCACGTGTGTCTACAGGGTCAAACAGAGATTGAAAGGCTGTAGAAAGAGATAATTGAGAGAGCAAAAACCCTAACTTAATTAATTCATTCAGATACTAGAGAGAGATATATATAGTCATACAAATAAGGGTATGGTTAACGGGTCACAGCCTATTAACCCAATACCCAATAGACTTAATCTAACACTCCCCCTCAAGCTGGAGCATAAATATCCACCATGCCCAGCTTGTCACATATAGTAGAAAACACCTTTGAAGAAGTAGCCTTAGTAAGAATATCAGCAAGTTGTTGTGAGGACGGAGTGAATGTGAGAGATACTATCTTCTTCTCCCAAGCATCTCTGACAAAATTACAGTCAACTTCAATATGTTTTGTCCTCTCATGAAACACAGGATTCTGTGCAATATAAATGGCAGATTGGTTGTCATAATGCATTGGCATGGGTCCAGACTGAACAAAACCAAGCTCTGTCATAAACTTTCTTAGCCACATCATCTCACAAGCAGTGTGAGCCATTGCTCTATATTCGGCCTCTGCACTAGATCGTGATACTACATCTTGTTTCTTACTTCTCCAAGTCACAAGATTACCTCCAACAAAAGTACAAAATCCTGAGGTTGACTTTCGGTCTCCCATGTCTCCTGCGTAGCCAGCATCAGAAAAAGCCGAAATGTGAGTATGCCCATGCTTCTTATATAACAATCCCTTGTCAGAACAACTTTTGACATATGCCAAAATCTTCAGAGCTGCTGTCCAATGAACCTCTCTAGGTTTGTGCATAAACCTGCTCAGTACACCTACTGCAAAAGTAATATCAGGTCTGGTAACTGTCAAATATATTAGCTTCCCAATTAGTCTCCTATATCGTGCAGCATCATCTAGTAGAGAGGTATCATCACGCCACAAATCAACATTTGCCTCCATTAGAGTGCTTGCATGTTTGTATTCCAAGAGACCTGCTTCTTCTAGTAAATCTAGCACATACTTCCTTTGGGACAACAACATGCCATGTTTTTTATATGCAACTTCAATCCTAAGAAAATACTTTGGCTTTCTCATGTCCTTAGTGACAAAATAACGGTTTAGATACTCCTTAGTCTCAGCTAAGACAACTGAGTCACTCCCAGTCAGCAGAATATCATCAACATATACGGCTAAAATAACCAAACCAGTTGTTATGCGTCGAAGAAAGACAGAGTGATCAGACTGACAACGTTGAAAACCAACATTAGAAATAACCTTGCTGAACTTATCAAACCAAGCTCGAGGACTCTGCTTTAACCCATAGATGGCCTTTCTCAGCCTGCAAATAAGATTCTCCCCCTGAGCAACATACCCATGAGGTTGCTCCATATAAACCTCCTCGTCCAAATCACCATAAAGGAAAGCATTCTTCACATCTAGTTGGTGCATCGCCAAATCCATATTAACAGTCAGAGAGAAAAGAATTCTGATGGAGTTGAGACGAGCAACGGGAGAAAATGTTTCAAAATAGTCAATACCATATGTCTGGGTATATCCTTTAGCAACCAGACGAGCTTTATATCTATCAACAGACCCATCAGGATGATATTTCAAGGTATACACCCATCTACAGCCAACCACAGTCGCTCCAGCAGGTAGAGAGATCAAATCTCAAGTCCCTCTAGAAAGCAGTGCATTCATCTCCTCATCCATAGCCTGTTTCCAGGCGGGTACTAACAAAGCTTCCTCATGTGACCTGGGTAAAGATATAGTGGACAATGACAAAGCAAACTGACGAAATGATGAGGTGGGCGGTCATAAGAGACAAAAAGAGAGATAGGATATTTTGGGCAAGACCGTTTACCTTTACGAAGAGCAATAGGAACATCTAAGTCAGAAGAGATATGAGGCTCGACATGAGATGGACCTGCAGCTGGAGAAGAAGAGTCATCAAGAGCAGAGAGGTGTATGTACTTTAGGACGGCGAGAGTATGTCAGTAGAGGCTTTGGTGCAGTAGCCACAGGAGCAGATACCGGAATAGTAGTGGGAGCCGTAGAAGGTAGTGGCACCTGTGGATCAGATGTAGTGGAACCAAAGAAAAAATATGGGACAGACTCAAAAAAGGTAACATCAGCAGAAACAAAATATCTCCTGGTGGTCCGATGATAGCACCTATATCCTTTTTGAGTACGTGAGTATCCAACAAACACACACTTAATGGACCTAGGAGACAATTTATCCAAACCAACAGTCAAATCCTGAACAAAACACGTACAACCAAAAACTCGAGGAATCACAGAAAAACATTTTTTAGCAGGATAAAGACAGTGGAATGGTATCAAACCATCAAGAACAGAGGAAGGCATGCGATTAATCAAATAACAGGCAGTGAGGACAGCATCCGACCACAAGTACTTTGGAATATTCATATGTATCATCAGTGTTCTAGCAACATCGAGAATATGTCTATGCTTCCTCTCAGCAACTCCATTTTGTTGTGAAGTGTGAGAGCATGAAGTTTGATGAATAATACCATTAAGAGCACAAAATTTTGAAACGTCATTTTTCATATATTCCAAAACATTATCAGTACGAAGAATATGAACAGAAGTAGAGAACTGGGTTTTTATTTTATTATAAAAAAGTTCAATAATATGCGAGATTTCAGACCTCTCTTTCAACAAATATAACCAAGTCATGCGAGAGAAATCATCAACAAAAACAATGAAATATCGAAAACCCTTCACAGAGGGAACACGACAAGGACCCCAGACATCAGAATGAACTAACTCAAACGCAAAACTACTGCGTTTATCGACACGACTCTGAAAAGAAGCACGATGGTGCTTACCCAGTTCACATGACTAACAACCTAAAAAAAGAAAGGGAAGACTGAACAATAACTACCGATCTAAGTTTCTGTAGTGAAAGATGACCCAAACGCCAGTGCCACAGTAAGGTAGAATCAGGCTGTGCTGCAACAAGACCAGCACCCGGCACACTGTCGTCCAAATAGTACATACCTCCTCTCTCATGCCCCCGAACCAATCGTCATCCCAGTTGTTAGGTCCTGAAAAACACAATAAAAAGGAAAGAAGGTGACTTTACAGTTATTGTGCTTTGTAAACTTGCTAATGGATAATAAGCTAACAGGGAATTTAGGAGCATATAACACATCAGTGAGTTTCAAAAAGAAAGTAGCATGAACTACTCCAGCACCAAAAACTGGAGAAAGTCCTATGTTACCCCGACACGGGATTTTTGGTCCCGTACCCGTGTCGGGTACGTTTTGGGTGCGGATCCGCACCCAAACGGCAGGGACACGGCATCGGGTCAATTGCAACTTTAAAGGAATTCGACGAATCAAATTCACGAACCTTGGGAGCCCAAAGGCGATCGGAGGAGGCGATCTCATGCCACCCGCGAGAAATAACCAGCAATCGTGCCACGTTGCGTGCGTCCAAAAACTCAACTATCCTCGTCACAAGATCCGATCCAAGAACCTCCAGGGGATCCTGATTGGATTCGATCATCATCGGCTCTTCCCCGCTCTCCCTCCCCTCTTCCGCTTCTTCTTCCTCGGCTCCGACTCGTCTCCTACTTCTCCTCTCTCTCTCTCTCTTCTGGTTCTTCTGCTCGCTATTTTCGCCATTGGAGGGGAGCTCGAAGAGAGAGGAGGCGTAAATGAAGGGGGGTTGGGAATTAAAAGTGATAGAGTTGGGTTTGGAAAATGGGACTCGGGAATGAACTAATTACGGGGCTGCCATCAAAAATATCTAGTTGGCGTGTCCTGCTTCATGGGCCTGCGATCAAAAATGGGCCTGTATCTATCTATTAGGCTTGATGTGTCAGGTATCTCTATATAAAAGTGAAGAGCTTTTTACATATGCATCCTACCCGTACCCGTACCCGTACCGGTACCCGTACCCGTACCTAGGCAACATAGACCATCAGCGATGCGAATAGAGGGAAACTTATCAGAAAGATGTAAAGAGACAAAACGATCCTTTATACCTGTCATATGGGATGAGGCTCCAGAATCTAGTACCCATGGTTCATGAGGAGAAGCTATGTAAGCATCCATACCTGAAGAGGATGCATGAGTAGCCGAATGACTGTTCTGAGAGAGCTCTAGCTGGCGTAACCTCTCATAATCTGTCTGAGAAATCTGAACAGTAGGAACAATAGTAGCTGGATTACTAGAAATAGTAGTTGAAATAGGTGAGCGAGTCGACTCGGCATCGGCTACTTGGGCCCATTGAGGACGATCAAACTTCTCCCAGCACTTCTCAGAAATATGATTGGTCCTCCCACAGTGACCACACTGACGTGAACCCCTATTAGAATCACCATGTCTCCCACTAAAAGAGCCACATCCTCCCACAGAATCACGACCACGATCACGATCACGACCGCGGCTTCTGCCTCTACTAGAGAACATGGCAGACTGATCCACTGAAGGTGGAGACGGTGCAGAAGTATCAGAAGAAACACCAGTAGAGACCTGCATGACTCTGGAGAATGTAGCAATCAGTGAGGGGATGGTATCTCCACCCAATATCTGTCCTCTCACCTGGGACTGCAAGTTAGGGTGCAATCCAGAAAGAAACTTGAACACTACCAAGTCACGGCGATATCCCAACAGCGTCGTCGCATCAGCTACTGCAGGCTGATGCATCTCCAGTTCGTCTATCAGTCCCTTTAACTCACCAAAGAACTCACAGTCGCTCATAAATCTAAATACACGGGAAGCATTCTTCTCATTTCCGTACATAATCTTCAGGCTGTCCCACATCTCCTTCGCAGTGGTTAAGAACATAACACTGCTACTAATCTGTGGTTCCGTGCTGTTGAGGAGCCACGTCATAACACAATAATCAGACGAGAGCCAGGAACTGTAGGTGGGATCTGTGGTGGGTGGAGAAGAGGCCAGAAGATGTGGAAGTTTGCTCTGAGCGCCAATGAAGATGCGGAAAGTCTGAGCCCAGAGCAGATAGTTTGTACCATTCAATTTTATTGTAGTCCCCAAGACTACCTTGGGCGCAGAAGTCTGACCAGCATCAGCAGAGGGAGATGTAGAAGAGGAGGAGAGATCTGTTTTCGACATTATTGCACAATAGTGGTAGGCAGGTAGTAGTCAAATAATCAGGGCAATAGTAGAGATCTGTTCTTTAAACATAGACTAAGAGCAGATCAAAAAATAAGCAGTAGTAGATGACCGGATCGGGTCATGTGTGGCCTCGAATCACCTATTCAAGGCCATAGAAAAAAAAGGATAAAACAAACGGCGCGGTACTGTAGCAGCACAGTACTGTAGCGGCGATGGTACTGTAGCGGCGGCGGCACTGTAGCGGCACGGCAGCGCGGTACTGTAGCAGCACGGCTAGTGGTGGCGGTAGTGCCGGCGGCAAGGAGAAGAGGCGGCGGCGGCTAGGGTTTTTGAATGAGGATTTGTGACGGTTAGGGTTTCAAGCTCTGATACCATGTAGAAAGAGATAATTGAGAGAGCAAAAACCCTAACTTAATTAATTCATTCAGATACTAGAGAGAGATATATATAGTCATACAAATAGGGGTATGGTTAACGGGTCACAGCCCATTAACCCAATACCTAATAGACTTAATCTAACAAAGGCCATATAAGAAAACCCACTATAAGTTTGGGAAAAACAATTGGATATTAACCTGATGCCACAGGTAGAACGCATGTCAACTTATTAGCCAACTAAACTATAGATGAGAGACAGGGTTGCTAAAAACGGAGGAGGAAAATAGCCACCTTATACTAGCCATGTAATTACTCGCATTCCTAATGATTAGCCACCTAATTATTAGGCATGCAAATATCTTTTCCTGCACACTGCATAAAGCCATATGCATTTCAGAATCTATTATAAATTTAAAGTTACTGTAGTTACTAATTTTTCCTTCACGGTATTATTTTCAGGATTTGCCAGGTTCAAGCGGTATAATGCAAGTAAGGCGACCTTCTACAATTGAGATAGGGTAGTATATGATTTATATTTAAATGCACGTCACAACAGTTGCTAACCAAAGTTATAATGCTAGACGATGGGAAGAGAGGAGAGATTGAAGTATGCAGCATCGTTTGAGAATTGTTATTTCTTTCGGCTTCTTTACTATGCTGGCACTCAGTATCCAATAATGGGTGCGCTAAGGTCAGACCATTTTAATCTTACCAATATTATGGTTCTCTCCAACTCTACAACCTTGATTCTATAATCATCGAGGCTGCATTGGTAACAGAAAAAGTAGGCTATGAATCTGCCTTCGTGATTTAGTTACTGAAAGAAAGTAGGAAAAAACAGGAACTGTCTATATGAAAATCTAGGGCTTATTTCTTCCATGCTCAAATCTTTTTCTGATTGAGCATAGTAAAATGATCGTGTTTTTTTACCTTTCATTTCCCCCCTTTAGGAATTATATTCGGAAGTTTCCTGCTTAAATTTGTATATATTATGTATCATCAGACAAACACAATCTAAAGAGTTTTCTCATAATCCTTATCTTTTTTTTAATCCTTATCCTCTTGTATATGGGAACTGCTATATGTTTATTATAATCCTTATGTTGTACACAAAGGAATTGCTTCTAATTAATTTATACATCAGCTTAAGTTGACTCGGGGACATTTTTTGTTTCTGCTGTATGTTTATCACCTATCCTACAAGTTAAGTCCATGCAAACTTGGAAATAAAGATTAAAATAAAAAAGAATAACCTTGTGCGCTCTATAGATCTATATATCTTCAGATTCTCTTGCTTTGCTTATGTTTACCTAAAGTCTCACTTATGGTCATTTAAATAAGGGAAAATTGCTTGGAGGAACCAAATAAAATTGGGTTATGCATCCCCACCCTCCAACTAGAGTCAACCACTTGGGGGCACCTTGACCCAATTTTTCATGCTTTTACACCCCAAACTCACTGCCCAAGAAATCCAATTCCCAAATTACCCTTCTTCCCAAGTTAAAACCCATTACTTTCCTCCTCAATCTGGCCCAAGACCTCCCCCTCCCCCACCACCGCCGACGCCTCCACCCCTACGCCACCGTGTCATTGCCAACGACTCCTCGATCTTCTCATTTTTCTTCAGCGGGCGAGAGATCGGATCTCAAGCGAATTTCACGCTCTCCGACCCGAATCCGATAAAACTCCCAGGGGTACAATTCGACCTCCTCTCATTTCTCCATTGATTTAGCTTTTCTTCTCCGTCTATGATTCTGGGTTGCGGATCTTGAGCAATGCGGGACGGATCTGGGAGCACCCTTTTATCCATTCCGTTGAACTTTTGAATGAATTTTGTTGTTTGGTTAGGATAATTTGGATGCTTGATGGGGGGGTTTATTGATTAATTGGAATTTGTTTGGTTCTAGTCGTAGCTGTTAGCTTTTGGTTCTTTCTTGATTACCTAGGGTTTATTTTGCTGTGAAATTTATAAGATTGCTAAATTTCTTTCTGCGAAAAATAATCAATTTTGTGTTTTACGGCCAGATCCAATGGAAAATTTTGTTTCTTTGCTAAAGAATTTTGATGTAAAACTAGGAATTGAAGAAGTCTTCACTGGGTCCGAGCATTTCATGGAATTATGGTGAATTATTCATTATAAAAATAGAGGATCTAGTGTAATGTCACTTTAACCACTGAGGATTATTTTCTGGGTTAAAAAGAAATGAACTTTATCTGTAATTTTATCCAATTACTGTTAGTCAATAGTTTTCCCCAATTGCAAGATATTGATTTGGGACTCATACTTCTCTTGCTCTTGTTTTCTTAAATATTTATTTATTGTTTCGTGTTATAGGTATTTGGCAATTTAGTCTAGGTCAATTCTGCAAATTTTACGAGTTCTGATTGTTGTTATTTGGTCAGCAGTAAGAGAAGAAAATTTTGTAACATTGAAGGCACTCATTCTTGTTGGAGGATTTGGAACCCGTTTGAGGCCGTTGACGCTCAGCGTTCCAAAGCCGCTCGTTGATTTTATGAACAAACCCATGATCTTGCATCAGGTATAAATGCTTTGCCCCGTCTATATGAATCATACTTTGGTTGTGTTAATGAATAATGAAGTTTGATGTTAAATTTTTTTAAATTTCAGGTGTTAGAAGTTAGTCAACAAGCCTTGATGGGAGAGGAATTAACGAAAAACCCTTGCTTTGTGAAGTATGACAAGCCATCTTAGAATTGCTCCAGATGTCCTTTTATGGAAGTCAACTTGCTTATGTGACATATGCTGGTTTCATGTGACATATAACGGTTTTATGTCACATATGTTGTTTTATGTGACATTTGTTGTTTATACGTGACATTTTGCTGTTGTATGTAATATTTGAGTGTTGTATGTGATATTTGGGTGTTGCTTGTGATATTTATTGTTTATACGTGACATTTGGGTGTTGTATGTGATATTTGTGTGTTGCTTGTGATATTTGTTGTTTACTGTTTCATGTCACATATATTGTTTTTATGTGACATATGTTGTTTATACGGGACATTTTGGTGTTGTATGTGATATTTGGTTGTTGTATGTGATATTTGGGTGTTGTATGTGACATTTGGCTGTAATTTGTGATATTTGGGTGTTGTTTGTGACATTTGTTGTTTATACGTGACATTTGAGTGTTGTATGTGATATTTGACTGTAATTTGTTGATAGTGAATGTGCTTATTTGTCACATGGCTGTAATTTGTTTATACATGACACATGACTGTAATTTATTGCATGTGATATTTAGATCTAATAGAGTAATTCCACATTCTCCTTCATCATCATCCCCCTATTCTTCTTTACCCACTAAGACCCAGGAATCAATAACTCATCCTTCAAATACTCTGACACTCCTCTTCACCTTCAACTCAAACTCTCCCTTTTCACCATTCCACCCCTGCAATCACGTGCAAAATCCCCGACAGATTTGGGTGTTGTATGTGATATTTGGGTGTTGTATATGATATTTCTGCTATTGGGAAGCGGGGAAGGTCTAAAAGTGGATTGTCCTACAAATATTTTGGAGGTGTTTGAATAATTGGATTTGATTTGGTTTATCTTTGGCATGTTTATCTATGTTTGGGTACTAAGTATTGATGTAAATTTATTTAGATCGAAGTGCGAAAAAGTTTTATTACTCTATTAATTCAAAGCTCAAAATTATGGTTGTTATGTGACATATGCTACTATTATGTGATATTTTGGTGTTCTGTGTGACATATGATACAGTGAAGAGGAGTGTCGGAGTATTTTGACACAATCTGCCGGGGATTTTGCACGCGATTGCAGGGGTGGAATGGTGAAAAGGGAGAGTTTGAGTTGAAGGTGAAGAGGAGTGTCAGAGTATTTGAAGGATGAGTTATTGATTCCTGGGTCTTAGTGGGTGAAGAAGAATAGGGGGATGATGATGAAGGAGAATGTGGAATTACTCTATTAGATCTAAATATCACATGCAATAAATTACAGTCATGTGTCATGTATAAACAAATTACAGCCATGTGACAAATAAGCACATTCACTATCAACAAATTACAGTCAAATATCACATACAACACTCAAATGTCACGTATAAACAACAAATGTCACAAACAACACCCAAATATCACAAATTATAGCCAAATGTCACATACAACACCCAAATATCACGTATAAATAGCAAATGTCACAAGCAACACCCAAATATCACGTATAAATAGCAAATGTCACAAGCAACACCCAAATATCACAAATTACAACCAAATATCGCATACAACACCCAAATATCACGTATAAACAACAAATATCACAAGCAACACACAAATATCACATACAACACCCAAATGTCACGTATAAACAATAAATATCACAAGCAACACCCAAATATCACATACAACACTCAAATATTACATACAACAGCAAAATGTCACGTATAAACAACAAATGTCACATAAAACAACATATGTGACATAAAACCGTTATATGTCACATGAAACCAGCATATGTCACATAAGCAAGTTGACTTCCATAAAAGGACATCTGGAGCAATTCTAAGATGGCTTGTCATACTTCACAAAGCAAGGGTTTTTCGTTAATTCCTCTCCCATCAAGGCTTGTTGACTAACTTCTAACACCTGAAATTTAAAAAAATTTAACATCAAACTTCATTATTCATTAACACAACCAAAGTATGATTCATATAGACGGGGCAAAGCATTTATACCTGATGCAAGATCATGGGTTTGTTCATAAAATCAACGAGCGGCTTTGGAACGTTGAGCGTCAACGGCCTCAAACGGGTTCCAAATCCTCCAACAAGAATGAGTGCCTTCAATGTTACAAATTTTTCTTCTCTTACTGCTGACCAAATAACAACAATCAGAACTCGTAAAATTTGCAGAATTGACCTAGACTAAATTGCCAAATACCTATAACACGAAACAATAAATAAATATTTAAGAAAACAAGAGCAAGAGAAGTATGAGTCCCAAATCAATATCTTGCAATTGGGGAAAACTATTGACTAACAGTAATTGGATAAAATTACAGATAAAGTTCATTTCTTTTTAACCCAGAAAATAATCCTCAGTGGTTAAAGTGACATTACACTAGATCCTCTATTTTTATAATGAATAATTCACCATAATTCCATGAAATGCTCGGACCCAGTGAAGACTTCTTCAATTCCTAGTTTTACATCAAAATTCTTTAGCAAAGAAACAAAATTTTCCATTGGATCTGGCCGTAAAACACAAAATTGATTATTTTTCGCAGAAAGAAATTTAGCAATCTTATAAATTTCACAGCAAAATAAACCCTAGGTAATCAAGAAAGAACCAAAAGCTAACAGCTACGACTAGAACCAAACAAATTCCAATTAATCAAGAAACCCCCCATCAAGCATCCAAATTATCCTAACCAAACAACAAAATTCATTCAAAAGTTCAACGGAATGGATAAAAGGGTGCTCCCAGATCCGTCCCGCATGACACGGTGGCGTAGGGGTGGAGGCGGCGGCGGTGGTGGGGGAGGGGGAGGTCTTGGGCCAGATTGAGGAGGAAAGTAATGGGTTTTAACTTGGGAAGAAGGGTAATTTGGGAATTGGATTTCTTGGGCAGTGAGTTTGGGGTGTAAAAACATGAAAACTTGGGTCAAGGTGCCCCCAAGTGGTTGACTCTAGTTGGAGGGTGGGGATGCATAACCCAATTTTATTTGGTTCCTCCAAGCAATTTTCCCTTTAAATAATGACTTCTAGCTAATGAAAAAAATATCTTAATTGCAGAATGACTTACCCATACCGCTGGGATCTCTACAAGAGAGTAGATGAGCCCTCTGGAAAGGAGAGATATGTCATAATAGCCACATTCCCGGAAAAACCAACAGGGGATGAAATCAATGATGCATTTGAAGGAAAACCAAGGTATGGAATACTAACGGGTCAAATGACCATGGTTTTCCTGTGGCAAGTTATTTGTGTGTTGATAAATACTATGAACACTTGTTATCTTTATTTAGAAAATAGTTCTCATGGGGCCTCCTTTTTCTCCACGTATCAGCATCATTTTCATTTTAAAACATCATTGTAGCGCATAAAAAACAATGAGCTCTAAATGCTTTTGTCTTATTGAATCTACAGAAACAAAAAGGGCTCGGCTTCAGGAATTTGGTATGGAGCTTTCATGTTTAAATGAGTATCTAAACTTCAAAGTGGGAAACTGTATATGTTTTAACTTATTCATTTTTTGTGTTGAAGGGGTTTCTTGAGTGGGATATTACAAGCATGAACAAGATTCTGCGATTGTTCCGGCATCACCTGATCCTGCTGGAAAGTAGCACGGAATATGTACCAATTCTGTCCCTATACTTGTTGCAGGAATATCCTGCTGCATCTTTTCTTTTTTCTTTTTTCCTTTTTTCTCTTCATTTTAGTTGATTGAAAGGGCGCAAAAAGTCCCGCAAGTATCTAGAATGGTATACTCTCGCGAAAATGGATTTCTCTTTACCATTGTAAGCTTTTATAGATTCGCCTGCTTTCTGTTTCAGGCTGGATAGGAAGGAACGTGTATGTAGTATGCAATAGAATCAATTCACTAGAATGCCTGTCTATATTTATGTGTAATTATCTTTCAGAGATTCCCTTTTTTTGGCAGGCAACCATGTGCATGGTATTGATGCAAATGAAGATAGGAAAGGAAGCTAAAAGCAGAATTTTTGTGCCACGCCACAAAAATAGGATATGATAAGTGAAGCACAGGTGAGAAACAAAATATATCGATGGGCCTTGAGTCTTTTCATTCATGATATGCAGCTTAAGTGCTGGATTTTTTTCCTTATTTTCTATACGTTGTAGCCTTCATCATAAATTGGAAGTTGCAATTTAGAGGTGTTATTTGTCCTCTCCAAGGAAAACTTGTATTTATAATTAAAACTGAAACATATTGGCTGATTCGTGCATAAAGAATTTTTTTAATAACAAGCTGATCTTGTTATATATTGTTCTTGTGTTTACTTTTCTTTAAATTTAACTCAGTTGGGAAGCATAATGTGAATCCAACCACACGACTCGGTTCCTATAAGTTATTGCACTTTTTATGATTTTGCGTTCGAGTATTCTTTATTTGTTGAGTACTGATATATTCACACAATAAAATGTTAAAAACCTACATCTTGGGGAATTCGAAAACTTTGAAGAATTTCTGATCACACCAAGACGAGCGAAGGAACAAATTAAAAACAATCCCTCCATGTCATCATAAATGTAGTCAAATTATTGCTACGAGGACTACTGATTACGGTAAATATACGTAACTTTCTCGTTATTATTCTTATAATAGCAGGAAGATGCATGACCAAATAAGAGCATAACATCGTAATATACATAGCATAACATCACAATTTTAATATAGCAAAGGACTCAGTTGCTGCTCGGGATGGTCGGAGGAGGAAGAAAAGATGAAGGAGCATCAAAAGGAACCAAAGGTGAGGATGGAATTTCAGGCTGAACTGGTTCCACAGGAGAGGGAAGAAAGGATGGAGGAGCATCAAAAGGAAGGTGAGGTGGAAATGGTGAATCATCAACAATAGGCGCCAAAGGTGGAGAAGGCAACAATGGAGGTGGGCTATCAAATGGAAGCTGAGGCGGTGATGGTAGCATCGGTGGAAGAAATGAGGAGGGGGGAGTGTCATCAATGGGTACCAGAGGTGGCAATGGAAATTTTGGCTGATCCGTGCTCTCTGGCGGAGGATTATCCGATGGAACTGAAGGCGTCAATGGAAGCACCGGCGGAAGAAATGACGGTGGAAGGAGTGAAGGAGGTGTATTCTCAGTTGGCACCAGAGGTGGCAGTTGAGATGTTGGTCGGTCCGAGACATCTGGTGGAGGGCTGTCAGATGGGACCAAAGGTGGCATCAGGAGCACTGGATGATTGCCTTCTGATGGAGGTGAGAAGTCAGTTGGCGGAGGAAGGAAAAATGGTGGAGGATCAGATGGAAATGTCGGTGGCATTGGCACCAATGGCCTTGCTCCGGCTGGAGCCGGTCGGAAGCAAGAGAAGGCGCTCCGCCAGAGCGGAGACGCCGGAGGGGAAATCAAGGGCGGAGGTAAATATCGGCAAGAAAGGCGGCATCTGATTGTTCTGGTGGCTCGGTGTGAAGAACAAGTGGTGGGCGAAAATACTGGTGTTGAGCGGACTCGGTGGTGCGTTTAGGGGTGGCACTAGAGGCGGTTTGAGCAAATGGAGGCAGGTGGTCGGTGGTGATCGGGTGCACCTGGTAGGCGGGGTGAGGGCACAAGAGGGGTGTGATGCGAACGTGTGTGGATGACTGAACCAGAGGCGCAGGGCCGGGGCACCGGGTGGGCGATTTGGGCAGGAATTCGGTGGATGGGGCCACGGACGGGAGGTGGTGGAAAGCGGCGGGAGGCAACGGCATTGCGGCGGAGGCGAGCGGACAAGGTGGCCTGCCGGAATTGCCACGGGAGGCGAGTCAGCGATTTGGACGACGAGCGGCGGTGAGGGAACGGGGGCGGGCGGTGGGAAGGTGTTTGAGAGTGGACGATTGAGGCGGAATGGCGAGGGACAGGTCGGCGGACAAAGGATTGTTCAGGAAGGCAAGGCGAGGGAAAAGGCACCGGCCACCAGTCCTGAAATGTATCGGGAATAGAGGCATCGCTAGGAACGTCATCCTACTCGCCGCCCTGTCCTGTCTGTGGTTGTATGTGGTTGTGGTGGTGGTTCGATTGACTAATGTCTCGCGCATCGGCGTCAGTTGCAAAGTTGGAAAGAAGAGCCAAGACAAACAGTAGGAACGGTAATAAGGATTTGGAAAGGGAGTACCCCATATTTGTGTCTTAGGGCTAATAAGCTGCAGAAAGAGTTTGAATCTCTTATAGGAGAGGGGAAAGTAGAGCATGCAGGTGTAAAGGAATAAGCTGCGCTGGCTTATTACTGCAACCAAGCCATGGAGATAAAGAGGAGGAAGAGGCTGGTCAAAGGAGACAACGGCATTGCATTGATAGTTGGTGGGAATTTGTGATAGGTTCTTGTTCGGTGTGCCGAAATGAAGGCTGTGGTGGAAATTGCATTTTAGTAGGGAGAAGAGCGTTGGCCTGTGTTTCACTGTTTGATGCCAATCTACCAACACCTGTAACGGTTTAGGCTGAAACCATGTTTGGTTGACAAATTATTTTTGTGATATACACGCTGGAACTTAAAAAATGTTGGGGAGCACCGAGTCGGAGAGACTCCGAAGCAGCTGGTTTATTGCGACACTGCGCTGAACGCAGTATTATTAGAGAGAGAGTATGGAGTTCATGGGTCTAGTGAATGCCATCAAAAATTTGGACATTACATACTTGGAAGTTTATTAGAACTTGTTGGTTGTAGGTTGCTAGGAATTTACGAGTCTTGCTGCAGATAGATTGATGAATTCATTTGTTCGCGTGAATGGAGGCAAATCTTGAGGGGATTGCCTGAAAGTTTGTGAGCGAGCAGAATCAGTCGTTAACAGCATAGAGTGATGTCGACATTGCGTTAAGACTGTTTTGGTTTTGGGGGGATCCGGAGCGTTCTGCAAAAAGGCAGATGGTGGATGCTGCTGAGATCAATCTTTACCGTGTTTGTTCAGTTTCAAATGAAACAAGTCTCACTAAGTCTCAGCTCCGTCGCAGAATCTCTCTACAGGTCGATGCGGGTAGATCGGTCGATGCGGCATAGATCCACCGCAATTTATCTACGCCGAGAATGGACAGTAAAGGGGATGGATTTTTTTTTTTCTAAAGCAAAATCAACTATTATGCTATAATTCCTCTCGAGTTAGATTTTGAAAATCAACGAAACTCCATGAAACTCCATAGTTGTGGCGTCAATAATTGTGGTACCAAGTCTTTACGATCAAGTGAACTACAACATTGAACTACAACATTTAGCTGTGCCATCAGATGTCAATGAAATTTAGTCGTAAAACAGAACAGATTGCAACACTGATGGGCTCAGCAAAACAACCAAACTCAAGAGGCTCTGATCTTTGCCTCGACACGGTCCGCTATCTAAATTTGGCATCCCAAAGCAAGCACTAATAAAACCAAAGCTGAAAAAAAAAAATCCAGAACACGCACATCCTACTCATCAGTAGTCCTTCATCTTCTCATCAGCCCTCTTCCTAGCTTCATCCAAACTCTCCTCTCCCACCCTCCTCCCCTCCCCCCTCACCTCCTCATCCCCTTCCCCTACCACG